TGGGGATTTGGGGTGCGGGGCGCTGCAGCCCCCCCGCTCCCCTCCCGCGGCCCCGGCGGAGCTGCCTCAGCACCGGGCGCAGCTGGGGCCTGGCTCTGCCGCCGGCTGCGGCCGATGATTAATGGCCGTTAATTAGCGCCGTTAATCGAGCTGGGCAAGCGGTGCCGGCCGGGGGATAGACAGGCCCCGAGCCGGGGGGGACGCCAGGAGAGGCTGCGATGCTTCCCCGGCGCGGAGCTCCGCGGGGGCTGCGGGGTCCGGCTCCAGCCCAAACCAGCGGCGAGGGGCCGGGCTTTGGCCGGGGACAATCCCCGGCTGTGTCACCGCCAGAGCCAGCAGCTGTCAGGAAACCTCTCCTGACCGGGAAATGCTTCCCCTGCCCCGGCATGGCCACGGGGAGGGGAGGGTGGGGAAGGGCTTGGACCAGAGGGATGGAAAAAAGCTGGAGAAAGCACAAGGATTTGTTGGATTATGCCCTTTTCTGACCCAGAGATGGGGTAAAATGAGAGGTGTTTTTAAAAACTTTTATTCTGTTTTCAGTCTCATGTGAAGGAAGGGTGGGAGAATTGTCTACGAATTTTGAATTCTCACCTTGGAGAATTCTCTACAAATCCATTTCCCACACTGGCCGAGCAGCATCGCCCTTCCCAGGACATGCAGGAGGATGACCCCGAGGGCTGGCAGTCCGAGCCACCGTCACCACTGGCGGGTTGAGGGTTGGATTCATCCCTAGGGAAGCGCTTTTGGGGTGCAGAGGGGACTTTCATGAAGGGGCAGAGCGGCTGCTGCACCCCAAAGCGCCTCTGTACCCCAGTCCCTGCGGGATGCCGGGCTGGAAGCTGGACACGGGGATGGCTGAGGGTGTGGGTCCCCCCACTGGTGTCACCCCGTGTCTCTGTCTCCCCAGGGACCATGCGCCCCGTGCGGAGGAACTTCTACGACCCCTCCTCAGCTCCGGGGAAGGGAATCGTGTGGGAGTGGGAGAACGACAACAACTCCTGGACTCCCTACGACATGGACATCTGCATCACCATCCAGAACGCCTACGAGAAGCAGCACCCCTGGCTGGACCTCTCCTCCCTGGGCTTCTGCTACCTCATCTACTTCAGCAGCATGTCCCAAATGAACCGGCAGACGCAGCGCAAGCGGCGGCTGCGGCGCCGCATGGACCTGGCCTATCCCCTCACCATGGGCTCCATCCCCAAATCCCAGTCCTGGCCGGTGGGCGCCAGCACGGGCACCCCCTGCTCGTGCCCCCAGTGCCTGCTGGTCAACAGCACCCGCGCCGCCTCCAACGCCATCCTGGCGTCCCAGCGCCGCAAACTCTACCCGGGCGCCGTCCGCCAGAGCAGCACCTTCGCCGGGGGAGCGCTGTGGCCGCCGGGGACCGGGACGCCGGCGGCGGCGGCGGGGAGCGCGGCCAAGGGCGAAGGGCTGCGGGTGGCCGGAGCGGGGTTCGGCCCCGGGCAGGGCGTGCCCGGCGCGCCGCTGCCCGGCCTCAACAACCTCAACCGGCCCGGGACGCAGCGCGGGGCTGGACTGGGCGCCAGGGCCGCTGTCCCCCCCGGGTAAGCGGGGTGGGGACAAGCGGGGTGTCACCGAGGCGGGGGGGATGCAGGGGTGGGCGCACAGAGGGGTAAAAGGGGTGATGGGGGTGGCTCGTCCCCTGCTGTCACCTTGCAAGCAGCCCCGGCTCTTGTGGCACTGTGTCACCTCCAGCCCCGGGGTCCCCACCGCGGGTGGCGGGAGGGACACCTGGGTGGTCCTGGCGGTGCTTGGATCCCTGCAGAGGGGATGTGCTGATCCGTGCTGTGCCGTGCCATGCTGTGCCAGGCCGTGCCACGCTATCTGTGCCAGCTGGAGCACAGGGAGTGCCCGGGCCCACGGGAATGGTGTCCCCCAAGGCCGGCATGGGCTGTGTGACCCAGCTCCGGGCCTGATGCCACCGGCAGATCCCGGGGAGGGCACAGCTGAGGGGAGGAGCCACAGCCCCGGTGTCCCTTCTGTGGTGGCGATGATTCACCGGGGGGGTCCAGGTGGGCAAGCAGACCCCTGGCGCTGTGTCCTGGTGGGTGTCCCTGTCCTGGCACCCACATCTCCACGGCCGTACCCCGTGGTGGGTTGGCCCGGTGTCCCCTCGGGGCTGTCAGCACCGGGCTGGGGGGACAGGTGGCTTCTCTGAGCCCCCAGCAGCTCCTGGCACATTTCCTTCCCCTGCTGACATCCTGCTTTCGCTTCTGTGTGCTGGGCCGAGCAGTTCTTGTCCCCGTCCCCATCGCTGTCCCTGTCCTGGCACATGCCTAAGGACAGGTAGGAGGTGGCTGGGCCCCCATCGCTGCCCCGGCCTTGGTGTGGGTAGAGGGGCTTTGGGAATGCAGGAAAACGTCCTCGCGTGGGGCTGAGCGCTGCCGAACCCATCACTGCGACGGCTGGGGCGGGACGGGATTTTGGGATCAGGGAGACCCCAGTGATGCCGCTGGTGGGAGCTGTTCCCAGGCTGCTGGCAGGGTGGCGGTCCCTGGGGAGCACACGAGTGGTGGCATGTCCCCGCGGGGATGTGGGACACGCGTGCCACTGCCGGGATGCCCTGACAAGGCCACCACCCTGGGTTGAGGAGGACGTGATGCCACCAGTGCCATTGAGTGCCCAGAGATGGACAGGTGGCTCTGGGTGACAGTCCCCTGGGATGGGACAGCAGCCCTCCAAGCTGGTGAGGGGACACCTTGCCCTGTGTCCCGTGGGGAGGACAGTGCCTGGGGACAGTGCCAGCAGCCCCCAGGGGACACTGCGGACACTGCCCTGTGTCCCGTGGGCAGGACAGTGCCTGGGGACAGTGCCAGCAGCCCGCAGGGGACACTGCCCTGTGTCCCGTGGGGATGCTGCTGCTCTGGGGCCATGCCATGCGGGGAGGGGACAGTGCCGGCCCTGCCAGCCCGGCTGAGCCCCTTCCTCTCCCATCTCCGTGCAGGGTCCCAGCGCTCCCGGTCAAGAACCTGAACGGCACCGGCCCCGTCCATCCCGCCCTTGCAGGTAAGCGGGCTCCGGCCAGCGCTGGGTGTCACCGCGGGGTGACACCGCGGGACGCTGCCAGGGGGTGGGTGGGAAGGACGGACGGACGGACGGACAGGCGCTCTCCCTGCGCAGGGATGACCGGGATCCTCATGTGCGCCGCCGGGCTGCCCGTGTGCCTGACCCGCGCCCCCAAACCCATCCTGCACCCCCCGCCCGTCAGCAAGAGCGACATCAAACCTGTCCCCGGCGTCAACGGCATCTGCAGGAAAACCAAAAAGAAGCAGCTCAAGAAGAGTAAGGAGCCACCAATGTCCCAGCGGGGTCAGCGACGGGGGGACACACGGAGGGGAAGTGAGAGACCCCCGGGGTTTGCGTGGGGTGATGCCAGTCGCTGCTCTGTGCCACGCGTGTCCCTTCCGTGCTGGCAGGGGGTGGCAGGGTGTCCCCGCCCGGTGACAGGGGGGTTGTGGCACCGCGGGCGGGCTCTGACCGCATTCCCCGCAGGTAAGACCCCCGAGGACGTGGTGCGCCGCTACATCCAGAAGGTGAAGAACCCCCCGGATGAGGTGAGGGGCGGCTCGGGGGGCTCCGGGAGGCTCGGGAATACCCCCGGGGTGACTCCTCGTTCCCCCTGGGTGCTGATCTTGTTGTCGGCAGGATTGCACCATCTGCATGGAGCGGCTGGTCACCTCCTCCGGCTACGAGGGCGTGCTGAGCCCCAGGGGCATCAAGCCGGAGCTGGTGGGCAAGCTGGGCAAGTGCGGGCACATGTACCACCTGCTGTGCCTGCTCGCCATGTACAACAACGGCAACAAGGTCAGGGCACCCCGGGCTGCCCGCGGGGGGGTGCTGGGTGGGTGCGGGGTCTTCTGGCTGGGTGCTGGGGAGTTCTGGAATGTTCCAGGTAGGTGCTGGGTGGGTTGAGTGGGTGTTGGAGTGGGTGTGGGCATTGGATGGGTGATGAGTGGGTGTTGGGTGGGTGCTGGGTGGGGTCCAGGGGTGGGTGTTGGAGAGGGCTGGGGGTTGTTGGGTGTTTGCTGGGGAGTGTTGGGTGGGTGCTGGGTGGGTACTGGGTGTTCGGTGGGTGTTGGGGGGTCTAGGTGGGCGCCACCCCTGAGGCCCCCGCGGTGCCCCCAGGACGGGAGCCTGCAGTGCCCCACCTGTAAGGCCATTTACGGGGAGAAGACGGGCACGCAGCCCCCCGGGAAGATGGAATTCCACCTCATCCCCCACTCCCTCCCGGGATACACCGACTCCAAAACCATCCGGATCGTCTACGACATCCCCACCGGCATCCAGGTGAGGGAGGACCCCTCTGCAGGCTGGTGAGCCCGCCCCGTGTCCCCCACTCACCCCCTGTCCCCACACCCACCCAGGGCCCGGAGCATCCCAATCCCGGGAAGAAATTCACGGCACGAGGCTTCCCACGGCACTGCTACCTGCCCGACAACGAGAAGGGCAGGAAGGTGAGACCCCGACGGGATGGGATGGGATGGGATGGGATGGGATGGGATGGGATGGGATGCGGAGGCTGCAGCTGCACTGGGATGGGGTGGAGGTACCACAAGGAAGGGTGGCATCCTGTGGGCACCGTGCTGGGGCTGAATGCCAGCCGGGGGGGCTGAGGCTGTGCCGTGCCAGGGGTGCTGGGTGGCTGTGCCGATCCATGCCAGGCTGGGCGGGGCTGCCGGGTGGGCGAGCCATGGCCGTGCCTGCCGCAGGTGCTGAAGCTGCTGATCGTGGCCTGGGACCGGCGGCTCATCTTCACCATCGGCACCTCCAACACCACGGGCGAGTCGGACACGGTGGTGTGGAACGAGATCCACCACAAGACCGAGTTCGGCTCCAACCTGACGGGGCACGGCTACCCCGACCCCAACTACCTGGACAACGTCCTGGCCGAGCTGCTGGCCCAGGGCGTGTCCGAGGCCACCCTGAAGGACTGAGGGCTCTGGGGGCTCAGGGCTCCCCTCGCCCCCGTGGCCCGGCCCGTGCCACCGCCGCCTGCGCCGCTTCACCGCAGCCCCGCCCGGCGGGCTCGTCCCCCGTCCCGGGCCACCCGGTGCCACCCACCGCGTGTCCCCGTGTGCGTCTGTCTGTCGCCCCGTCCCGTCCCGGCTCGCCCCGCTCTCGTGGCGATAGCGTCGTGGTCTTTTTCTACCCGTGGCCTCTTTGCGCGTCTGTGCCACCCGTGCCACCCGTGCCGCCCGTGTCACCCGTGTCACCCGTGTCGCCCGCCGCTGCCCCAGGGAGCCGCGCACAGCCGGTGCCATGTACATCTCTGTGTTACAGAATACACCCCGCGCCGGGCTGCTGGCCCCGCGTCCCCTCTGTGGCCCCGCTGGCCGCCCTGCCCCTCCCGGGGTGGGCTGAGGGGGGCAGGCTGGGGGGTGCCGGGGGTCTCGGGGCGGGGAGGGGGCTCTGGGCTGGCTCTGGGGTCTCGTCGCGGTGGGTGAAGGCGTCGTGGGCGATGTCCAGGTCTCGCAGCACCTCCTGCAGCCTGTCCCCAGCGAGCCCCCCTGCGCCCCAGGGTGGGGTCAGTGCTCGGCACCCACCTGTGGCACTCACCCGCGCTCCCCACCCCGTGCCAGTCCCCCTCACCCACCCGCGGGCATTTTCCCCCCACAGCCCCGCATCCATCCCCATCACCCACCCGTGGTGTCCCTCCACTCCCCACACCCGTCCCCTGCCGCTCCCGGTCCCCCGTCCCATCACATCCCACCCCGTGCCCCACGCCCGCCAGCCCCCCCATGTCCCCGTGTCCCCTGTCCGCGCGTGTCTGCTGTCCCCTCGTGGAGGGAGCCAGAGCAGTGCCCTGTGGTGCCCTCAGGGGTCTGCGGGCGCCCCCCGCGTGTGCCAGCCCCACCCCCGGGTCCCCATGCCCCCCGTGCCCCGCGGGGCTCCCCATACCTGCCTGGCCCGGGCAGGGGGGCCCGGCCACCGCGCTGCCCACGGGACCCCCGGCCAGCGCTGCCCTGCGGGACACGGACCCTCAGGACACCCCCCTGCCCCCCAGCACCCGAAGGACCCTGTGACCCCCAACTCCCACCGTCCTGGGGGACAGGGACCCTCAGGATACCTCCCCTGCCCTCCAGCACCCGAAGGACCCTGTGACCCCCAGCTCCCACCGTCCTGGGGGACAGGGACCCTCAGGACACTCGCATTCTGCCCTCCAGCACCTAAATGCCCCCTGTGCCATCCTCTGGAGCCCTGGTCGCCCCCACCCTACAGGAAGGGACCCACAGCAGGGTCCCATCATGCCTGTCAGCACCCAAAGGACCCCGGGATCCCCAACTCCCACTGCCCTGGGGGACGAGCACCCTCCACATGCTGCCACCCTGCCCACCACCCCCTAAAGGACCCTCAGGCCCCCATATTCACCCTCAAGACCCCCAATCCCCGCCAACCTGTGGGACAGGGACCCTGAGCAGCTTCCCACCCTGCCCACCAGCACCCACGAGTCCCCCGGGACCCCCGTGTGCCCCGGGCTCACCGCAGGTGCCCGTAGAGGCTCTGCGCTGCCACCGCGGGGTCCCCGGGCTCGCTCCACTCCCCCAGCGCCACCGCGCCGTGGGTACGGCTGCAGCCGGGCACTGCCAACGACAGCAGTGGGGACACGGCGACACCGACACCCCCCTGGCGGGCACCCCGGGCCCACGGGACCCCCAGTCCTACCGGCACGCGTGGGCTGCAGGCAGCAGGTCCAGCGGCCGGCGCGGAAGGCGCCGGGGTGGCAGGTGGGCAGCATGTCGCGGTTGGCGCTGGTGGCCCGGCGCAGCGCCCACAGCCACTGCCACAGCTCCGGGGCGCTCTGCGGGGACACCAGGGACAGGGACACCCCCCAGGGCACTGCCGGTGCCGGGGAGGAGGAGGAGGAGGGAGGAGGAAGGGGTGGGCACCAGGGCTGGGGAGCAGGAGTGACAGTTTGGTGGCAAAGCTGCGCAGTAGGAAGTGAGGGGAGATGGGGCTGCAGGATACCCCAGTGACCCCAAAACTGCCAGGGTAGGACACCCCAACTTCCCCGGTACACCCAGTTAGCCCCTTGACCTCAGTACTCTCAGTGCTCCCAGTACAGAGGGTGCCTGGGTACAGCTGGATTTGGGACCGTTCCCATTGTCCCGTGGCTGGTGCTGGGGAGGGGGGCGCTCCCAGGGTGCTATAGTGGGGGGTTCCTGGGGTTTTTGGGGTGCTGGGGCAGGGTGGGGTCACCCACCTTGCACTGGAGGTAGGTGGTGTGGAGCTGCCCGGTGCTGTCCTGTGCCAGCACCTGCAGGACGTGGGGGTGCTGGAAGGTGCCCTTGTCCACCTGCTCCACTGCCCGGATCTGCTCCACTGGGATGGAGCCGAGCACCTGCAGACCCCCAAACACCTCCAGATCTGCACCCGTGTCCTTATCCATTACCCATATCCATGGAAAACCTGGGGAGCCCCAAACACCCCAAAACATCTGCACCCACATCCACATCCTCCACCTGTTCCCCTGGGATGGAGCAGGGTA